CATCAACTCCCAAAGACTATCTGTCAGGGCTGCTTCACTTAATAACCAAGAAAGAAACCACTCAACTCCATTTTGGCAGAATTAAGAGTACTTTTACTGGTTATAAGTAAATAGTAGCTAAGCAAAGCAGGATCTGAGACAAAAGTGCGCGCAAACATAGATATCAATATATGACCCATTCCCCTCCCCTTGATAACCCCAACCCATAGTCCAATCCAATTACTCCACAGGTGTCATCAAAAATCATCATCAGGTTGGTATGCCGGACAGTTGGACTTGGCGGGAAACTCCTCTCCCTGCCACATGTGCAGTAGATGGTGAGAACAACTCCTTTCTTACAGTCCTGCACAGAATATTTCCCACACCCAAATACCATGCCCCCCTCCCAGTTTCAATGGCAGCCAAAAAGCAAGCAGCAAAACAGAGGCTGACACTATCATTTCCGCTTCCGCTCTCCATATTTATACCCTATCCATCGCTTTCTGGCCTCCTCTCCCTCTCTCATCCTCCCTACCTCCTTTCTTCCCTCTATCATTCATCTCTTCTCTACTTCCTCTCTCCTTCTCTCTCCTCTTTCCACTCCTTCTTTCTCTCCTCCTCTTCCCCCACCCTCTCTCCTAATCCCTCTCTTCCTCCTCTTGTCTCACTTCTCTCTTCCACTCTCTTCATCTGCCTTGCATGGTGCATTTCAGCGTCTGAGCAGGCTCCGTTTAATGTTGATGGTGTTAGTAGTTTTATTTCAATAAACATTTTTCATATTAATAATTTGAACATATATCCTCCTTTTTTTTAAAAAAAAGTATACATATATTGCAATTGCATTTTTATCCACCCACTCACCACCAAAAGCTTATTTTTTTGGCCAAAGTGTGGACCTGGTTACAATTTCCAGCTATTCCTTTCATAATATTGTACAGTTATACATCATTACATGCCCCAAATTTTTAGTTCTCTCTTTATAATCTCAGTAATTTTCCATTATAAGTATATTTCCAGTTCCCCTTCCATTTTTCCATATCTTTACTTAGCTTACATTTAATTATCTTTTAATTACAATCCTTGCTATTCAATGCATATTACAATTCCGTTGATCTGCTATATAACATGACAAGCAATATGCACCTCGCTTATATTCATCCTCTTAAAAGTTCTATATGAATCCATATTCCAAATATTTTAACTTATATTTAATTATCTTTTCATTAGCAATTCAGTTTAACTATCATGTCATTTATATTCTCCACATAATAACTTCTAAATATCCAATTAGCTAGTCATTCATATTAATATATGTGCTTCTGTATATATTTGTATATGCTTCCCTTCTTTCTCTCTCCTGTCAATCCTTTCCATTTCTTCCTAGTGAGCCTTTTATCCCAAACTCTAAGTTCCTGCTTTTTCTTTCTACTGGGCATATATTCTTCCTTCTCTGGCTTTTCCATCACCCACTGCTGCGTCATTCGACGTATCCTCTGTCTCCCTGTCTTCTATTCCTCTTTTCTCTTATCACTCCTTTCTTTCTTCTCTTTCTTCTCTATGCCTGTCTGGCCATTTCCTTTCCTTTCTTCTATAGTCCCTTTCCTTGTTGGGACATATCCCCCTTTTCAATTTTCCTTGTCAAACCCAGTGAAATCTTTTGTCTGTTTTTTTTATTTTCTATTGTTTTTTCTATAGTTCCACTACCTTTCTCTTCTTCTTCCCTCACTTCTTGTTTCTTCTTAATTTCTAACTTCAAAATTCTATTTAATTTTAATGACTCGTATATTTTTATAATCTCATGTATTTCTTCAAATTCCCAACTTTCCAGAGTGTCTTGAAAAGTTACAGTTAAGCACCGTATTTTTCAGAGTATAAGGTGCACCAGAGTATAAGACGCACCAAGATTTTGAAGAGGCAAATAAAAAAACTTTCCCAAAAATGGCTCAGAACCAGTTTGTGCCAGCACTCAAGGCCATGCACCCTGAGAAAGAATGTACAACTGTGTGGAAAAAATCCTGCACGGTTTATGGTTTATGACATTTTTTGGATAGGCCATTGATTTTATGATGTTTTATGCTAACTGCTATGCAAATATTGTTATATTTAAATAAATACTGGTGGTTTTTAAGTGAAAAGCATAAGCTTTTTGCAATTTCGTGCTTTTTCGATGGGGATTGTGAATTTTCTTGCATGCTTACAATGACTATGAAAACAATTAACTGATGCATACCCAGTGGGATATGTGTTGCAATTACTAAGGTCGATGCTAGTGTTTTGTTAACATTTTTATTGTTTGTGGCCCTGAAAAAGACCATTTAGGTAACCAAACATGGTTACTAATATGAAATTGGCCAGCCTTTATTGCTTATCACCAGGCGGCATNCTGGAATGAAAACAACCAGACAGTTTAAAAGCAGAAATCTTTGGTTTCTTATCCCACTTTGGTCTCTACATATTTTAATTGTTCTAATACAGTTGTCTATCCAGCAGATATTCTTGAGATTCTAGTTCTAAGATGCTGAGATTCTAGAAAGAGGGCAGAGAAGAACAACAAAGATGATTAGGGGACTGGAGGCTAAAACATATGAAGAACAGTTGCTGGAATTGTGTATGTTTAGTTGTCAGCAACCCATGGCTCTGGAGCCACATGTGGCTCTTTCATCCCTTTGCTGTGGCTCTGGAGCCACATGTGGCTATTTCATCCCTCTGCTGAATTAATAAAGAAATCAAGAAATTATTCTTAAACTCTATGAAAGCCACAAGGGGATTATTCAAAGAATGGGATTCTTGAAATATATGAGCATAAAATTCTACAGTGCTAATACCACTCACCCATCATGAAATCTCCAGAACCGTAAATCCTACAAACTTGCAATTTGGTATGGAGGTTCCTCTTGTTTTTCATTGCTTGCTAAGAAAGGATTAGTAGTATTTCTTATACAGAATTATATTAACATGCTCTGATTCTAAGGAGTTAGATGTTCAACTCCCCCTCCCCATCTGAAAAGAACTCTCTTCCAACTGCTAGTTGCCTTATATTAACCAAGCCCAATCACATAGTTTTATAGCAAAGCATGGGTATCCAGCTAGCTAAAATATATCTGTCATATTTCCCTCTCTCAGGAAGATTATGCTCCAAGCAATGTAGGTTGGCCAAAGTTTTTGGCCCTTTGTAGCACAAGTAGGTTTAGATAGGTTGCTATCTTCTCCTTTGGATTCATTTTCAAAGGAACTAAGTTGATGAATCCTTGTATGGTCCCCTTACCTGCCATGGCTGAAGTCTTGAAGCCACCAACCTCTTCTTCCTTCTCCTCTTGAATCTGGAGGAATATGCAGCATTCAAGGCATAGGCCAGAGTCTTAATGACACTATAAGCACGGTGGTCAATTTTGTACTCATGACTGCCTCTTTTCTCTTCTGTTTCCAGTGGCTCTTTCTGTGTGCATCTTCTTCGGACTTTAACAGAAAGGGTGTGCTTTGAAAAAGAACAGTGAAAAGAACGGTTTTGAAATTGTGGTTCCACAAAGATAAATTCTTGAAAGGTATCTTCATACCCTCTTTCCTGTATATAAAAGCGCCAAATACTATGAACGTATTCGTAAAGTCTATGTTTTCTTACTGGCAACTGTCCAAAAAGTGTGATGATCCAGATTTTCCCTTCAATGGGTTGTGGCAGACCTTCAAGTGCAAAATGGACATGGCGAATTCCGTCCATCATAGTACTAAAGTCTGTAAAGAAAACAAAGACATTGACTTGTCTCCACTTAGAGATGGCATCCCTGAAGGGTGCTGTAGGTGTAGTCGTTGAGAATCGTTGCGATATAACAACACAAATTCCATTCCTCACAAGCATAGGAGTAAATATCTGCATGAAATTCTCCCCCTTCTCTGTGTCTGAAGCAAAGAGACCAATCAAGGTCCATCTGAAATGGAGGAGCAGTTGGACAATTGCTGGGTACTGGATCCCATTTTTGGGACCCATCCTGTAGAAATAGGGGAATTGTCTTTTATCACTCAGAGCCTCCGAAACAAATGAAGAAGTGATCTGAAAAAGCAATGAAGAATGGAGTGTCATATTTAGGGTGAGTTGAAACCCCAAATAATTTTTAATAGATCCAACTTCTCATTGACATAATAGAATGGCTTATTGTTGATTAGTCATTGGCCATATCAACATACAGATTACAAAACAGACATTAACATTAACAAGTACAAGGACATGACTGCCTCAATCCTTATCCCTCCACCACTGTGGACCCCTATCCCTAGACATGACTTCTACAGTGGCCATGATGAAAAGCAGCTCTTGAATTTCATAGAGAAGATCGGGTTGAATCTTTGGTTTACACACCACCATTCCACTCATTTTACCCACAGAGAAACATGCACAAACCTATGGGACTTTGTTGGTGCCTACTAAAGTT